TGCAGTTATGCAACTTTTTTTTTTTTCTGGAATGCCACCCGTGGCTTTTTTCAGTGCATCACATCAGGACTTAACCTGAAGTCAATATGTCTCATTACTGATGATGTTAACCACGGTCACTTGGTGAAGGTGGTGTCCATAGGGTTTCTTCATTCTGAAGATCCTGTTCTTCCCTTTGTCCTTAATAAGAACCCTGGGGGGGAGATTCTTTGAGACTATGCAAATATTCCATTTCTCATCATTCTTTTGCTCACTAACTTTAGCATCCATCCACCGTTCTTGGCTGTAACAATTATCCCTGTGGTGTTTGCTAAGTGGTAATTTTCAAATTCTATCACTCCTTTCACATTTGTTAATTGGAATTTCTGTAAGAAGGCTCTGTCCTTTCCCCCCGTTTGTTTATTGACTTATTTATTATTCTCATTGCTTATTTAGTTCAAATCACTCTAGATTTGGCCATTCGAAGGTCCTTCAAGTTGGCTCCTGTGTCCTTTCAACATGGCCCCATAGTTTTTAAAGCACTTCCTTACTTTCTGGTATCACAAGATGTTCCAGGTGCATCTTGTGTATTACCTGCCCCAGCTCTGAGATTAACTGTTTCTCAAAGGAGCTCTGGTTCTTTTTATTGGAGAATAGTATTTAATCGTGATCTGCACACTAGTGTATCCGTTGCCACTGGCTGTCTCTAGACTGTATCTATCTTGCATCTTCCCTCCTCTCTCCATCCCCACCACCATCCCCCTGGTACAAGTCATCATCGTATTTCACCCGGGTAACTGCCTCTTTATGGATCCCCCTACTTCCAGTCTTGCCTTCCTCCAAGCCATCCTCCAAACAGTAGCAAAAATAGAATCTTCAAACATTAGCTAGACACCGTCATTTCCTTGCATAAAACCTTTTCTGGGTGTCAAGATTAGGTCAGAATAACTGAAATCACTCTGTCTTCAGACACAGGGGGAATTAAAGCCTTGCTCAAGGCCTGCCATGTCTTAGCACAGGGTTGGCAAACTTCTTTTGTAAAGGACCAGAAAGAAAATGTTTTAGGTTTTGCAGGCCACTCAGCTCTGCTGTTGTAGCACAAAAACAGGCATAGAGGGCTTCCCTGGTGGCACATTGGTTAAGAATCCGCCTGCCAGTGTAGGGACCATGGATTCGAGCCCTGGTCCAGGGGCATCCCCCATGCCACGGAGCAACTAAGCCCATGCGCCACAACTACTGAGCCTGCGCTCTAGAGCCCACAAGCCACAACTACTGAACCCGCTGCCACAACTACTGAAGCCCACGCACCTGGAGCCTGTGCTCTGCAACAAGAGAAGCCACTGCAATGAGAAACCCACACGCTGCAACAAAGAATAGCCCCTGCTCGCCGCAACTAGAGAAAGCCCACACACAGCAACGAAGACTGGCAGAACCTGGAACCCATGGGGAAGGGGATTCTGGGAAATGTCAAAATGGCAACAGACAGATTAGCCCAGTGGCTTTCACGTTCCCATGGACTGAAATTCCCTCCATACCGTGGCTGCTTTCTCCCCTTGCTCACTGCACACACTCCACTGTGTTCTCTCTCAGTTCTTCAAACCTGCCAGTCTCTTTTCCACCTCAGGACCTTTGCACATGCTGTCCCATTTGCTTGGAATGCTCTTTCCACCTGCTTCTTGATCTTTTTTATCTTTTAGATCTCAGATGAAAGGGTACTCTCTTGGAGAGGGCTTCCCTGACCCTTCTATTTAAAATCGCCTCCTCTTTTAGTAGAATCTGTCTTATCTCAAAGCTAAGGGACCTCAGCACCTTAGTTTTGTTCCTTGTCACCCCTCCAAGATTTAGAACAGTGCCTGGCACACACAGGTGCTCAGATACATACTAAATGAATGTAACACTTAGCACAAATGGCTAACAGTTCACTTGCCTTATATACTATGTTGATTGATTGTTGATCTGCTTTCTATATCCATATAAGCTCTTTTAGGGCAGAGGTTAGGACTCTAGCATTTATTGCTTATACCTAAAATAGTGCCTAGAACATAGTTGGTATTAAGTAAATATTTGTTGAATGAATCTCACGCATTTTAAAAACCTTACTATGGATAGTAAATACTAGATAATCATGGAGATCAGGTAAAATTGCATAGCAAAATATTCTTTTTATTAAGTATGTTCTGATGTCCATTCAGTGTCTAGACTCATATTTTCATGTGGCAACCCATCCGAGGGGAACTCTGGATTTGGAAGGTCCCCTCCATGTGTGGGACCAGCGTGCCCTGTCAGTTCTTTGCCTCACCTTAAGATGTCACTAAGTGACTTGGCCGTGGCTTCCACTGGCTGTTGCTGGAGGAGCTGGGAGGTCAGGCCAGGGAGGGAGGAAATGACCTGGTGTCATGAGCAAATCTCCCACTTCCTCCGGCGCCTGGCAGACAAGGTGACGAAGTGCTGATGTGTCCCTCCTGCTTTACGGGGCGTTCATTAGCACACCTGATATTCCAGAGCCCTGGAAACCTGTTTTCTTCTACAGCCAGAACTTTAATAAATCAGGCCAAGCCAGATAAATCATGTCACGTCACCATTGACTCCATGGTCGTGGGTCCAGCACTGTTCCTAGGACACTAGGATGGACTCACGTGTTCAGTAATATTTCTGCTTTCAGGAAGTGGTGGGGGAGCTGATAAATACAGGAAAGAAAGAACTAAAAGTAACAGAAAAATCCTAAAAGCAAAGTGGTATTCTGGATTGGATCCCAAAGCAGTGAAAAAGAACATGAGTGGGGAAAATTGGTTAAATGCAAACAAAATGTCTAGTTTAATTAATAGTGTTGTACCAATGTTAATTTCTTAGTTTGTTAACTAGGAGAAGCTAGATAAAGCATATCTAGAACTGTACTATCTTTGAAATATTTCCATAAACCTAAAAGTAGTTTTAAAAGTGTACAGGCAGTGTTGGCTTGGATAGCAGGGATATATTTTGTAGGTTCCTGAGGCAGTGAGTGAATTCCTGAAATCGAACAGACCTGGGATGAATCTTTACCTCTACCACTTACCAGCTGTGTGACCTTGAGCTAGCGACTTAACCTCTCAGAGTTTTAGTTTCCTTTTTTTTTTTTTTTTTTTTTTTTGCAGTACAGGGGCCTCTCATGTTGTGGCCTCTCCCATTGCGGAGCACAGGCTCCGGACACGCAGGCTCAGCGGCCATGGCTCACGGGCCTAGCCGCTCTGCGGCATGTGGGATCTTCCTGGACCAGGGCACGAACCTGTGTCCCCTGCATCAGCAGGCAGACTCTCAACCACTGTGCCACCAGGGAAGCCCTAGTTTTCTTATTTTTAAACAATGTCCATGTCATTGGGTTGTTGTGAGGGCTCCATGAGATAATATCTCCTAGTATGGTACATGCACATCATAAATTCTCAATAAATGCTAGCTCTCCTTTCTCTGGCATTTCAGAAAAAAAAAAAAAAAAAGGGCAATCAGCTGTGCTTAAATATTTGGAAAATAAAAAACAAGAGGTGAGATTTGTATTAGGTCACCA